TATGGTACGGTTCTTTTTTGGTATTTTATCGGTTCGGTAATCCCGGTATTTTCGGGAAATTTCGGTATCGATTCGGTACGTGCTCACCCCTATGTAAATGTACATTGTAGGAACCAATTATCCCAATTTGGCTTGTTAAGAGTTACTCGGTATCCTATCCTATCCTATCCTATATACATGTAAAGTTGGGTTTATCTCTTGGAGTGTTGACATGTGGCATGCCACATGTGCATCCACATGTGCATTGAGATGGATGAATTTCATTGGTCCATTTAATTTTTTAAAAAGATCTTTTAACACATTTTATTTTATTACATTAAATAAATATTACTCCGTATATTTATATTCTTTGTATGGAGTATATTTTACTACTAAAAAACATTGTTTAATTATTCTTTGTATAAAAATGTCATTTTTTAACAATTTTATAAAAATATATTTCATCATTGTAAAATATACTCCGTATTTTAAACACACACACACACACATATTGCCACACATATATTCTCTAATGATGCATCATTATTTGATAAGTCCATTTTTTATTATAATGTTTTATTAATTAAAACTATTTTCATTAGTACTTCATTCAATAATGGCCATTAGTTTTGTATAAAATTTTTATTTTTAAATAAACATACCAATATGCATTTCACCAGTTTATAACATATTTTGTTTACATAATCAAATTATATATATAAATATTTTTTCACTTTATCGATGTTTTGAAAAAATAAGTTTCATATGATTTTTAAAAACAATAAATCATTTCTCTTTTACTACTTTAAAAAAATACTTATAGAATCTTTAGTGCATATACATCTATATTTAAAGTATAATATTTGAAAGAATATATATCTTAGAGTTAAAAAATTTCATCTAACACATATTATGTCCCTATTAAAAAACTAAAATAAATAAAATTATATTTATAAAATGTCAAAAATTTAGAATATATACAAGCCCGTGCGAAGCACAGAGTTAACACTAGTAATATAGTAAACCAAATCCTTTTGTTCATCTTCAAAGGATGTTCTCTATTTTAGGAAAATTGCCAAAAAAATGGCTTTGGTTTGTTAAATATATCGAGCTTCTCAATTTATAACAAATCAATAGTTAAAAAATAAAATAGCAAGATATCGTTTGAGAATGGAACAAACAGTCCCTCTTATATCACTAATTACTTGCTACAATGTAAAAATAGCAAGTATGATTGGAGATGCTCTAAATACCCTAATATTTCTGTTTCAAAGTATTTGCTCAGTTTTAATTTTTTTTATATTCAAAATTATAACTTTTGACCATTAATTAAATAAAACTATACTCCCTCTGTGCCGTTTTAAATCGCTCGTTTTGACTTTGGAGCATATTTAAAGAAGAGAAAAAATAGAGTTGACTTTCCAAAATTGTCATTACTTTTTAGGAGGGGTGACGATGAATGAGAAGATAAGATGGAGAAGAGTAGCTTATTTTAGGGGTAGTTTAGGTATTTACTCTTAAAAGTTTACGATAACAAGAAACAGGGAACTTATTCTAGAACGGAGAAAAAAGGAAAACAGACAATTTAAAATGAGACAGAGGGAGTATTAGATATTGATATAAGAATAATTTTATTAAATCTATCTTGTTAAATATTTTTAAAATACAATTTTATCTAATTAATATACCATATATTTTTGTATTTAATTTTAGGTTAAAGATCAATTGTGTTAGATGAAAACAGTTATTTCTAGGCGTCGATCAAACGACCTTCGTCTCAGCCGACACCGCACCCAATAACAAAATCTAATAAATAAACAAATAAAATAAAACAGAGAGAAATTATTTTTATGTAGAAATTCAAATATATCCAAAGGAGATGACACAGGGTGTGGGTGATGTTGGGTATGTCTTAGTCATAGGAACGTGGGAGGAAGGTTCAAAGATTGAATCAAGATTTTATCTACTTGAGTTTCGAGTTGTTTTCTAAACGAAATTTGATTTCAAAATAGATCACGATTTTGAAATAAAAAAAATAAATACAATTTAACGATGCGTTCAAAATGTTTTTCCTAATATTTTTTTTAGACCACAGGGACCCACACTATCAAAATCAGCAGTTTAAACAATTAATTCTTTTAGATCGGTTTTCGTAGTTTTACATATAGTTAGATTGATACTTGGGTTGTGTTAAATGACTAGTATTTGATAATGTTGTGAAGCCCATATCATTGTTGTATGTGTCTAGAATTTCATAATGGTTTTGTTGTAAATGCCTTGCATTTGATAAAAGATACTCTGTAATTCAAATATCCTTGTTAATTACAAACGTCCTTGCATTATGGAAATGTTTTTGCATTTCATAAATACCTTGCACTTGATACATCCTAGATTCATACCCGTGCATTGCACGGAAAGAAATTCGTTCAGAATTAAAATTACAAAATATTTGAGTTATCACTATTTGGATATAAAGAAGTACTCCCTCCGTCCTTGACTTATCTTTAGAGTTTGACTTTATACGATGTTTAATAAACTAAAATGTTGATGATTGTGATTTGCCTAAAAATTTGATACGAATGACATATTTATTTCTTTGAAAAGTAAAGTAAAAAAAATTGGGACAAATTAGAGAGAAGACAGATAATTATATATGGAGCGAAAGGGGTATATGGGAATAATCTAAAATGAGATTCGTATAAAATCAAATTTTGTATTACATCCCAAAATCGTAAACTAAACCAAGCACACAACATATTGATAAAGTGTACACAAACAATAGTTTTTTTTAATAAACATCATTTATTGTAGAGGGTGCTTGCTATTCATTTTCATCGCAAATCAAAAAATTTTAAATCACTAATATTTGTAACTTTTGAAACCGTAATATACTATTGTCTGTGACTAAATACAGTTATACAGACTTTTTGAGAAGTAGGCATATGTGAGTTAGTGGCCGGTGTGCATTGACTTTTGCTTGTGGTCATACTGTACGAAATCATTATAGGAAACTATTGCCTTTCAAATTTGAAAGGAATCATTGGATCTCAAAGGATCAATGACAATTTTGAAATGACATCTTGACCCATATGTATAACGGAGAGGATTTTACCTTATATGACATCTTAGTTGGTTGGAGAACAATATAAACAGTTTTTACTTAAACTGGTGATTCAAAAGTATTGTGTTGAGTTGCTTCGTACATGGGGTGGAGTCCTTTTGTACACAACGTTTACTTATTATTATTATTATTATTATTATTATTACTATTATTTAATAACTATAATTTATGATTTATTTCATTTTTTATTTTTTAACATCTCACTATTTTGTGACTCACATTCATTATTATTATTATTATTTTCTTCTATTTCTAAATATAAATAATAGAATTTTACTAGGAAAATTGATTTTTATTAATTTACATGATATTAAAAAATGTTCTCAAATTATTGATATTTTCTTAATATAAATTGACCATTGGAAAAAAATCAATATTTTAAATTTAAAGATACGGAGTAATAATAAGACTACACCCTTTGTCACTTTGTTTACCTATAATAATAATAATAATAATAATAATAATAATAATAATAATAATACTATGAAAAATACACTTAATAGATGATTGGAGTTCTTTCGAGTGTTTTCTAGTTTCTTTTAGTTTTTTTAGTCTTTTTGTTTCAAAAATGCTATAGTCACAAATAAATAATTCACAAACTTCTTTCGAGTGTTTTCTAGTTTCTTTTAGTTTTTTTGTTTTTTTGTTTCAAAAATGTTATAGTCACAAATAATTAATTGAGTGCTTCCATCTTATTTCTAGTGAAATGTTAAAAAGCAACTTTGTAAATTTTATGAACTGCTTGTTTGTGAATTAAAAAAAAACACTCTAAATATATACTTTTACTATCTAACACTTTACTTAAAAATTAAGATAGTAAAACTGAGAATGATTTTTTTTGTGACACCGATGGACGAATATAGACTCATCGTAAATTTGTTTTCTTATGACATTGGATACTTGTTTTGAAAAATGTATTCTGTTAACAAAATTTCATATGGTTTAGAATGTTGCAAATATGTTGGATGTAGAATGAATCTATTTGAAGTGTCAAGCAAAATTCAAAAATTATTTGATCATTTCTTTATTTTTTGTCAAATATAAGATCGTCATTCAAATCCACAATATTGAAAAATCTATTTGCCGTGAAAAATGTCCTCTTTTGTTTTTCCTCCGCTTTCATGCGTTGGAACACAGGATGAATGTACATATATGATCAACATTTTTTATGGTGAACAACATCCTCAACAAATAAATTAATACTATTATAAAGGAAGATTGTAGTACTTTACATCAAGGCAATATTGAGTTGCGATGATATGAGATAGAATTGGATTGCTTTATATAAGAAAATCCTATGGAATAATCTAGAGTTTTTAAATAGAATCTCAAGAGTTTTTGTTGGATTTTTTGAAGGGTTGCGCGATTGCATTCAATAGAACACCAAAAATGGTTTTGGTTCATTGAATACATAATGCTCCATGTTCAATATCAGGAGATGGATTGGGCGGCTACAATTAATATAGAAGTCCAAAAGGTTTGTTTCTCTTCATTAAATACTATCGATTAGGCGGGAAAATAATATTTTTTTTCTTTTTTCTTCTTTTTCCAATTCTTTTGCTTTTGTATATAGTAAAGATAGTTTAATTAATGATGTGAAGCACATCATTATTTTTATATGTAGTTGTCTTTGCAATTGTTCTTTTCATTTTTGAGAAAAACAAAAGCAAAACCGACTACAAACAATAAAAAAAGTAGTGATAGTGACATTTTTTATTTCGAGGGCATTACATAAACAAAAAATGACAATGACAATTTTTTTACGGTGATAACGACAATTTTGACTAAAGAAAATGCTCCAATGTCAATCTTTGTAACAAAAAAATGACAATGACAATTTTGACTAAAGAAAATAATCCAATGTCATTTTTTGTAACAAAAAAATAAGAGAGTACATTAGCTGCCAAAAAAAGCTTTAGTCTATGGTTGGTGAGCATTGTGTCCAAAAATCATCACAAACAATTGAAAATACAGACATTAAAGTTGCTATTATCAGTTTATCACCCAATCACTCCAATCAATACTATTTTATCTCATCTCCATCCATCACTTCTCATGCTAGCTAGGGCCAATGGCAATAGTAATCAGAATAGACTGGACAATTGTGTGTGTGTGTGTATACATACATGCAACCAGCCATGGTGATGGAGAGAGAAACTTCTTCTTCTTCTTCTTCTTCTTCTTCTTTACCGCTCCGGACTCGCCTTGAGTATGGATGGTAGCGGCGCAGTAATTGTTATCAACTGCAGGGTCAAGTTTTTGTTAGTTAACCTTTTACAGCAGTTTTAATGACCACTCATCACCATTATTCACAACTAGAACCATGATCCGAATTGGGAGCGTACACATGAACTGACCTCTTGTGTATTCGGGTGAGGAAGAACAACCTTGTGTGCATGCAAGTTGTATCCACAGTCTCCGGGAACTGGATTCTCTGGCCTCTGGTATCCGCTGCGCATGCAAAAACACAGAAATTTTCTTCTTTTTTTAGTCCGAGAAGACTCTATGTATGTTACTTCGTACTTCATGTGCTCTTAGAGTTTTTTTTGTTTTACTTTAGCGGCACACGGATCTACAATCATCTTATAGACACGTGCAGACAGCATCTTCAGGTGAAGAAAATGAACATTGATAGAATTTAGGATGGGGTATGGACAATTGGATTGGGCAATAAGACACTTGGGTTGAACCACATTAAAAGATTGAATCCAATCAATTAGTTAGTTCAACTCAAGAGCTTATATACCGATTATTTTGCTCTTGAACTTTCGATGTGGGATGACACTCTAACAAACATAAATGCACATTATAATGGGGCTCCGAGTAAGAAAGAAAACTACAAGAGAAAATTCACATACCCATCTTGAGCAAAATTTTCATCGAAGAGATCCGGATCAAAGCACCTTGGTTGTCCCCCATCAATGTAAAGAGGATCACCTAAATCAAGCAAGAATTACTTCTTAAACCCATAATATAAGCAACATTGAGTCTAATCTTTTCGACTTATTCTCAGTTCCGTTCAATAAACTTCAGCCAAAAAGAATGGACCCATTATGATATGTTGCATTCGATCGAGCCCATATGTCAATAGCAAGATTCTCACACGAAAAAAAATCAAAATTACTCCTTTGGTTCCTTTCTTTTGCCTTAGCTGGACCCTGATAAAGAACTCCCTCCATCCCAAAATTTAGATCCCCTATCCTTTTTGGGATGTCCCAAAATAAAGATCACAGTCTTTTAAAGGAAACTAGGAAAGAGTCATAACATAACATATTATTTCTTTCTCCTTTGCATAAATCTTAGTGGCACAGTTTCACCTTTTCATACACTGAAAAAGCAAACAGAAACTTGACTTCGGGACGAAGGAAGTATTTTGAAAAACACATGAAGCCAAAGGACAGTGTGAGAGAAGTTTAAACTGGTGTTTGCATAAAAAAGAGAGCTATGAAAACCCCAATATATACCATAAGAAGAAAACCAGAAAAACAATTTGAAAAAAAAGAAGAAGATTTACCTATTAGTGGATGACCAATTGAAGAAAGATGTATGCGAATTTGGTGTGGCCTGCCAGATTGAATTTCAACCTGTCAAAGAATTCTTCTGTTTAGGCTGGCTTCCTTTGCTATTTATTTCAATAGTACAACTAATAAGCATCTTTAATAGCACACTCACGTAAGTACTTCAACTGTTCACTTCTCAACTAGCTTGCCGTTTCATTTTTTCCCCCAACCCCTGTCAAACTTTCCCGTATTCTCCTAATATAACCCCCCCCCCCACCAAAAGAAACCGGTGATCCCTCTTTTATACTCTGTATGTGTTTGTGTGGGTTTTCAAAAAGGATCCTTATAAACATTGGGCCTTTGGATGAAATACCTCTACCAGTGTCCAATTATTCTCCACTTGTCTCTCAAGAACACGAACGTTACTCAACGCTGGTTTCCCTGATAATGAAAGAACACACAAAAAGGATAATGATCATGACAATGTTTTAGCTTTTGGCAAATAATGACTAACTCAAAATGGCACATTGAAGTTCCCTTGCTTCTTGCTTTCCATGAAGTTTTTCCAAGGATAAGACTGCATACATCTTGACCCTCGGTATTACCCAAACAAAGTTGGGGTTAAACTTGGTTTGTTGGTGTTAGAAAATAATACTCCACAGTACAGGAGGGCTAGAACTAGCTAGAAGTAGCAATAGCATGGCGAGTTCACTGTAAATAAAGAAAACAGTATGGCTATATACAAAACCTGAAGGAGAAGCAACATACAACCCTTTGGCAACTCCAGGATAACGAATCACCCCAATCGGTTGCTCGATTACAACCTACGATGCAATATTATTTTCAGTTTGTATGACTTTATCATGTAAAATAGCATGACGACAAGTTCTTCTGGAAAAAAATGATGAGGTTGTGGACAAGCATAGAGGAAACAAGACGTATAGAAGGATAAAAACTAAAAGGAACGGAAAAATCACCTACAAGGAGAGAGATTGTAATTGGTGCAAAATTGGAATAATATCATACTGGGAGGAAAAAATGCAATAATGTACCTCATCCTCACTTATCACCCCTTTTGCAAGGGCCCGATATATCTTAACAATTTTCCTCGTCCTCGTGACTTCAGGATTGGAAAATCTGTCAATATGAATTGGAATCAGTGGCATAGCTTGAAGCAATGCTAATCAAGAAAGCTCACATATTTCTGGTCTTACAATTCTATTGGGACAACAAATGCTTCTTATACCTTTGTTCTACAGAATACCCACACCTAGACGGTTAGGCATAACAGTATTCATCCATTGCATGGAGATCATTTAATATGAAAACCTGATTTTAAGATCATGCAGTAACTCATCTTTTTAAAACAACTCAGCAGTTGCTCCCTCTTAAAAAGCCAAAGGTTACTTCTAGAATGCATTCAGTATGTGACAAGCAGAAAATCGCATCATACAGAGGTACAAAATGACACAATTTTACAATTTTACTATATAATCAATGTGTAATGCATTGTATTATAACCAAATTGAGTGCTTAACATAATACTCCGTACTTTTTTTCTTGAACAATAGATGTTCCATCAGCAAAATATGCAGCAAGGCAAGATTTTGCAAGCTTAATCTTTGCACAAAGTAATATCCCTTGAAGATCAAATGGAGGAAGAATATCAGGAACATAGAATAATAATTCTTGAAATTATCTAGAACAATAACATTTCACTGAAGAAATACCCGATGTGCCTCGTCCCAAACGATGAACTGGGACGGGATTTTGTTCTCCAGGTGCTGATGAAGAGGACAATTTTCTTTCACGCCATTGAAGTTGCGTCAGAACAGTCCGCTGCTGGAATAAGCCTCCTGGTAGCACTTGTAAACCTGAAGGCTTGTTTAGAGCAATCTGCAAACATTCAAGAAAATACAAATTTATCCTGCTTCAGAAAATAGTAGGGCAAGTACATCGTAGATATGAAAAAAATGAGTGTCACAACCATTAATTTAAAAAAACAGTTATAATTTTGAGAAAAAAAACTAGTAAATGTACCAAATGTTCATCTTCAAAAAGAACTTCCAACAAGTGAGGTGCATTGGGTTCCTTCCAGGGAAGGCGGTGATATAAAAGTTGTGCACCAGGTCTGCATTACAAACATACTAACAATTGAGTATTTATTAACTTTTGATGATCCCATAGGGAAAAAAGGTATCCGAGCAGCCACAAGCCCACTACAAGTAGAGAGGCTGTTTCAAAAGAGACCCCTGGCTCAGTGTTGAAAGTTGCATGGATTGACTAACTGCTATTTCATTAATTAAAGAAGCGCACACAGATAAGAGATCCATTTTGTTTTATTCCATCACAGCCAAAGCCAAAAAATAGTGAATTTTTGGCTCCATCGGAGATGATTGAAGACTACGTGCATAGTTATCACGGCGTCGCCTAGGCATCCAGGCGCCCTTCTACTCTCACCATGAGAGCGCGCCTCGCCTTATTTTGCATACCTCGCCTAGGCATTGCCTTAGCCTCACCTTGGCTCGCCTAGTCCAGTACTTTTGTTTTCTTACCCTAGTGCTTTATTTTTTCAAGTGTTTTATACCCCCGGCTCCAGTGCTTTGTTTTTTTAATGCTTTATAAACAAGTTTATTTGCAAGTTAATATTTTTTTCTACTATATCTTCCTAATTAATACTCGGTGCTTTTTTATAAATTTTAAATGATTAATTTATTACCAACTTAAGTCGGTAACACTTTTTTTCAACTTTTTTTTTTTGAGGAAAGTACTTAAAAGTATCTTTGGTAGTTAAACTTTGATATATTTATATTAGTGTTTTTAATGTTTAGCAATTCTCCTATATTATGTGTCGCCTAGGCAGTCGCCTTGTCCTAGCGGTATCCAAGCGCCGCGCCTCGACTTGGCACCGTGATAACTATGACTACGTGTGATAATAAATTAATTCAATTACCTGAGACGTGCGTCGGGATTGCTAACAACTACACCATCAACCATTATCTGGAGAGATTGCAAAAGAGACTCATCTCATCGGGTTGAATTCAAGAATACTTTATTTAAAGCATTTCTCAGAGGTGCTAACTGCTAACCTGATTGTTTTGAATTCTCTGCAACCAACTGCTCAACCGTTAGATTCAATGTCTATAAACACATAAAGGCACAACTTACAAGATCTACATTAAAAAATGAAGCGCTTGCGATTTGATTTCACCGAGTTCAAAGAAAATGTTGAAAAAAAGTAAAGAACAAAAGAAGTGTGTATTTGGCATTTGATTATTCCCTAATACACAACAATTTTTATTCAATTTTTAAAAGATGTATCTTTCTAAAAAGAAACTTGATAACGATTATGATATTAATATCAATAATAATGATAATAATGATCAAAAAAAACTTATTCAGAAAAAAACACGTGATGAACTGTGAAGCATGATAATGTTTACCCCTGCAAGGGAGCTGAATTCTTGTACTTTCTGGAGTAGAACTCAATCATGGTAAGGCCTATAAACTCAAATAAATTTAAAAACATGAAAAATTCGAATACTTTTTCAAATATTACACACACAGAGAGAGAGACCGGCATCAGCTGGACGGACGCGGTCTTGGTAGGTTAAGCCGTCATTGAATTCAGGCCATTCCTCTCCGAACGTTCGCCGCATAGGTGTAGCCGTCGCCATTGACGACTGCACTGTGGCCTCTGCTTTCCTCGACCCGTTCAATTTGTATTCCCCCGGGGCAAAATTGAAAATTTCTCTACATAAACCACCACCAACAACAACCCACCCAGTTGTATCCAAGGGTGCACAATTCGATAAACCAAAACGAATCCAAAAGTTTGGATGGATCAAAACCAAAACCAAAAATTTGGTTCGGTATTCGATTTTCCATTTTTAAAACTTTAGTTTTTTTTAAAAAAAATATACTCCTTCCGTCCCCCAGTTTTTGTCCACTTTTGACTTTTGGAACTGTTCGTCTAAGCACTTTGATTTGTCTTAACATATACTACCTCCGTCCCGCTATGTTCGTCCAGTTTTGACTTTTGAAACTGTTCATCTAAGCACTTTGACTCATCAAATTCTCTTAATGTGTAAGCCTAAATATAGTCATGTGTGATCTTGTTTGATTTGTCTTAACATATAGATTATTAATATATAATTTCTATAATTTTTTAATATACAAATTACAAGATAAAATGGATTAAAGAAGTGTATTGGATGGTGTGCAAAAATGAAAGTGGACAAATATAGTGGGACGGAGGGAGTAGATTATTAATATATAATTTCTATAATTTTTTAATATACAAATTACAAGATAAAATGGATTAAAGAAGTGCATTGGATGGTGTGTAAAAATGAAAGTGGACAAATACTCTAGGACGGAGGGAGTAGTCGCTAATTCGGTTTTTATCGAATTTCGAATTAATATTACATAAGTAATCTAATTCTACCTCTCTACTTTCGAGAGGTGTTCATTCGGCATTACCGAATAACAAATTAGTATTATATAAATAATCTAATTCTATCTCTCTACTTTCGAGAGGTGCTCATTCGATATTACTGAATACCGAATTAGTATTACATAAATAATTCAATTCTACCTCTCTACTTTCGAAATTTTGGTTCGATTTTAGAAAATATATTGGTAATTCGATTTTTATCGAATACTGAATTAGTATAACATGAATTTGTCATACATATCCTTGACCACGTAGATGTATGTGATCAGAACCCCACTTGATTAAAACACCTCCACAAGACCTCCCTTAGCACCTTATCGTATGCCTTCTCGAGGCCAAAAACACTATATGGAGGTCCTTTTTAGCTCTATAGCCTTCCATCAACCTCTGTAAGAGGTGAATAGTCTTTGTGGTCGATCTGCGATGTATGAAACCAAAATGATTCTCGGAAATCTACACCCTCTTTCACAGCCTACTCTAAATGACTTGCTCACAAATCTTCATAGTGTGACTAAGCAGTTTGATGCCTTTGTAATTCTTGCAACTCTAAATGTCACTCTTACCTTTAAACAGCGGAACCAATTAACACGCTCTCTCTCCACTCGTCAAGCATCTTAGCCGTCCTGGGAATAACATTGAAGAGCTTGGTTATCCAAATCAACCCACCTTGGTCCACATACTTCCAAAACTCCACTAGAATCTCGTTCGGACCCAAAGCTCTACTATTATGCATCACGCGAATGGCGCGAGCCACCTCCTCCAAACTAATGCACCGGCAATATCCAAAGTCAAGAAATGCCTTCAACTGCCCAACTCATCGAGTTCTAGCCTTGAATCTCCTCCCACATTTAGAAGCTTCTCAATAAACCCAAAAAAAATTAATAGAGTATTTATAGGTGTACATCACAAATTTTGTGAAAACAATAAAATGAAGTTTTTTCATCCATTTGATACGTTAATAGTCAATTTTATATAAATTTCACCCCTCGTGACTTCGTGAGACTCAAGTGAGTTGTTGTGGTGATTGTTATGACTTTCGAAAACTGCCACTAGCCACCGTCAACAATGACTTATCATTCCAACTCATTGTGGCCCACCACTCGAATATCACTCTTTCATTGTTTCATATTTCTCCAAACACTTTTGTTTTAGATTTCAAAGTTCATACTCCCTCCGTCCCAAACTCATTGTGGTCAAATTTAATTCCTTTTTTCTATCTTTGTTAGTAATTTGATAAAATAATATAATCATGTCACCACTAGTTTTATAGACATTTTGATATAGTTTTTAAATATGTAATTTTTTTTAATTCTACATCGTTTTTCATATAAAATGGTTTGAAAATAACTTCAGTCAAGCATCGTAAATCGAAATAGGCGATCTAAATTAAATTAGGACAGGAGTACAATAATTTCTTCTAAATTTCTTAATATTCCCTCCATCCCCCACAGGTCTTTCCATTACATGTTACGGGATTTAATCAATTTTATTTTTAATTTAACTTATTTGATTATAGATATAAAATTAAAAAAGTAAAATTTATATAGTAAAAAGTTACATGAAAAGTTTTAGAGAACAAAAGGTGATAAAATTATATTTTTTTTTATTAAATGAGTATGTAGTAAAAACAAGCAAAGAAAGTGAGTTAAGTTTAACCATGCAAATAGTTAGTGTCTGAGAAGATTTATGAGGACGGAGAGAGTATAATTTAAAATCTCAAAACTCATCTAATAATTTTTAGTAAATTACTCCCTCCGTCCCAAATTATAATGCCTGTTTACTATTCATAGGGTCAAACTTCATTCACTTTCTTTCTCTATTTTCGTTAACAATTTGATAAAATAAAATATTATTGTCACTACTAATTTTGTAGATCTTTTGATGTAGTTTTTTAATATGTAATTTTTATTTTTTAATTCTATGCCATTTGTCATATAAAATGGTTTGAAAATAATTTCAGTCAAACATCGTAAACCGAAACAGGCGCTATAAAATGGGACGGAGGTAGTACATAATAAATATCTTAGACAATGTGGTATGCCGCGTGAAGGAGAGGGGCGTAAGATGACATCACTGGGCGTGACCACGCACGACCCCCTCTGCGCGGACCGCCCACACACGATGAGAAAGGAGATTTATTTTTGTCGTTCTAAACAATCACAATATAACACACTTTCACCCCAACCAATCAAAGTAGTTCACATACGGAGTATTTACATCATATCTCTCCTTCACACCCACCTGACCACATATTTTTTCATCACCTCACATAATACGGAGTATATTTTTACATTCTATCACCTCCATTTTTCAATCACCATACCACATAGCCTTACTATCTTACCCCCAAATCTACTAATATACAAAGGTGAAGGGGAAAAATGAACAGTGCATTTTCCCGCCTAAACAATTGGGTCCGGATTGGGCGTTCGGGTATGGGAGTAATAATCGGGTTTCCATTTTTGTGGGAGAAATAATTGACCAATTTGTATTTGGGTGTATCAATGGGTATCCAATTCGAAATAATGCTTTGGAAAACTAAACTGTGTACTTTGGAACACGAAAAAATTAAGAGCATACAATTTAATGCTCAATTTCGTTGGCTTCTTCGTATTCAAATGCTTTGGAAAATGATTTTGTATGCTTTTAAAACACAATTTAATGTAAAGGGCGCCTCTTGGTATTCAAGAGGCAAATATAATTTGTTGTGCGCCGTAATCCACTCGAAAAAGGGAAAATTAATTGGGACAATGCATTTGGGTATTATGACGGCTTGGCCGTTTATTCCCAAGACAAATTTATTTATTTCTCCACTCTATACAAACTTATTTATAAAGCCTTCTTTATCAATTCATTTCCCAAACTTACACCTTCTTTGAAAATTTCAGTTTAGTATTTTCAAAATAAAATGGCTCCCAAACGCGTTTTCCCGGGACTCTTTACCAATCTCAGAGACCTCAAAAGTGACCAAAAAATATTACTATTCATGTACGAGCTATACGTGTCTACCATGTTGATCCTTATGGACGAAATGTTGAATCAATGGAAGTTGTGTTTCATGATGAGGAGGTATTTGATCTTTTACGATGGCAATTATTCCATTTTTTTGGTACTCTTTTTGTTCGTGCAACAAATAAATAATGTGCATGAAAAATCTTAATCCTTCATATATTGTTCTGGTGATTATAGGGAACTCGAATTCATTGTCAGATCTAAAAACCATACAACAAAAAATACAAAGAACAAATTGTAGAAGGTGGTGTCTATGGGATAAGAAATTTCTTGATCTATGATAACTTTCAAAATATGAAAACAACAATGCATGAATTTTTGTTGGCCATCTACATTCATACTGAAGCAAAGACCATGTCCAAAAATGGCTTTCCTGAGTTTATGTTCAACTTGCGATCTTTTGACCGCGTCCGTGGAACACCGTCAAATGAAGACCCCTTCTTGCTAGGTATGTACTTAAATGAAAATTTTGTAATAAAAAACATTTTATTTATGAATTAATAACAAAGTCTATAATTTCTATTTTGTAGATGTTTTCGGAAAAATTGTTGGTTGTTCGAGAGTAAGAACACACGTTACTCCGATCAAAGAGGAGAAGCTCATTGACGTGACCATAGAAGATGATGAGTATGTTAAATCTAATAATGCATTTCTTTGAGATTTTTGAAATTTTAATCCGTTTATTGTGACAATAACTTTCGTAGGGGAAAACCGGTGCTCTGCACGTTGAGAAACACCTTACGTATGAGAGAGCAATTGAGTGTATTTGATCAATGTTGAAGTGACACGTTATATATATGTATATGTCTATGTATAATTTATTAGTAAAAATTAATTGAATAATTTATTTTATATGAGAAATAAAATTATATTGTATAGCTTATGGTGTTTTTGTGCGAAAGATTTTATAAGCCAGTTTTTAAAATTAAAAATGATATTTTACGTTGAAGTAATAGTTAGTTTTAAAGCAAATCCAGACTTTATAAAATTATATTTAACACATTGATATTTAACATAAAAGTAATAGTAAGTTTTAGAGCAAATCCAAATTATATTTAACTAAATATAGTTTTAGTGCAAAAAAATAAAATGTCA